CTTACTCAACTTTCAGTATCATCATAGGCCTCAGCACTAGATATCATATTCTATAATATTAATTATAGTTCCAGGCACTCTGACAAGCAATTATGAGGATAAGCTTTATCATCCCTGAGTGTGGTGGCTACTCTGTAATTCCAGAACTTTAATGGTGGATGTAGGAGGATCAGGAAGTCAAGGCCAGTCTCAGTCACATAGCAAATTCAAGGCCAGCCAGGACTGCATGAAAACTGTTAAAAAAAAAAAAAAAAAAAAAAAAAAAAAAAAAAAAAAAACCTAACCAGATATAAGGATAAGCAGGTATTATTACTTTCAGAAGACAAATTGGATGAAAAACTAGGAAAGCTGGGATTCAGTGCAAATCTTTCTCTTGGCCCAGGACACTGTCACTCTGGTACTTGCAGACTCATCTGCTCTGTTAAAGAATAAAACAATAGCTGACTCTTTAGGAAACGCTGCTGGTGTTTGGTGTTGGTTTGGAAACTTCTGGTTTCAGAGAGTCCAATTTTTAATCTTTCTACAAACTTAGCCTAATTGATAATTATTTATGGGAATATTTAAGTACAATATACTTCAATTCTATTGGGAAAATGTGTTGAAGTGTCCCTTCCGACTCTACCATTTCAGTGTTGCCAATCTCCTCCCTGGCCCTCCATTTCCTGCAACTTTGTTTCATCCCTCATCCAAGCTACTGGGGTAACCACTCAGCGTCTTAATTACAAAGACTTTCCATGGTCTCTAGCAAAGCCGTATTATTTAATGAGCCATGGAAATACTGTAAGAGAAATTGGAGACTTCTTTTGTTTAGTTTTTAATTAAGCTGTAGTGGTATTGTGTAACATGCTATTCAAACAACGATATTTACCAAGAGTCCTGTGATATTCTAGGCTGCTTATACTAAGGCAGTACCTTCTACTGTGGACATTCTGGATATGGACAAGAATGATGCCATTGTTTAAGAAAAATAGAGACAATAGCTCACATTTCAACATTCCAGATAAGACATGAAACAGCTAAGAATTTGGAGCGCATGTGTAAAGTCTCAACTAGATGATCTATCCATGAAGGGTGATTGCTCAGAATATAAATGCAGGAGAATCAGTTTAACTGCTCAGCGTGTGCATAAACTTGATCCTCTGAGTTAATGAGTTTGTGACATTTATCAGTAGCTGACTGAGGGAGAAAACCACCTCAATGCTTAATTCTAAATAAGGTTTTCACTAATTAAACTGAAGATATATTTGGTTTTAAAAATATGTATTTCTCTGAAAGCATTTATGAGATTTTGATTTTGTGGATTTTATACTTCTAGCAAGAATTATAGAACCCTCATACCAGGAGAGCTCTGGGAGATTAAGTCAAATATATTATTTCATAATGTATTATAAACAAAAGGCATATAATTAAAATCAGCAAGTTCCACTGTGGTGTGGCAGAGATAATGACTGTGTGTCACCAACTTGCAAAGGAAATGCATGAGCATGCAAGCCACCATATCTGCATATAATTAAGAAATGTAAGTCAAGCAGGATTAGAGGGTGCAGCATTAGATCCTGACAGCAAAGCATAGGCCTCTGTGGCAGCTCTCAGGACCGACCTGTGACTTCTATCAGTTAGTCCCATTACATCTAATAAGCTTTTCAAAATCCATACATATACATTATTAAAACAGTCATAGGCCTCTTTTGGTATTGTGCATGTTTCATTAAAAATGACAATAGAGTGAGACAAAGAAGATCTTAGTTCTTTACATTGACTAACGATAGGTTAACTTGTCTCAAAATGTCATGTTGAACAGCTCGATTTCAAAGAGTATCTTACCAAAGAGATTATTTATGGATAATTCAACCTGGGAATTACTCTTACAGCAATGTGTTATTTTAGGAAAAGTTTTATTTTGCTTGTATACTCTTTGGAAACCTTAAATATTTATTAGTTACTCCCTAATTCTTTTATGTTTATTTATTTTATGTGCATGTCTGTGCACCACTTTTGTGCCTGATGCTTGCGGAGGACAGAAGAGGGTACCAAATGTCCTGGACATGAAGTCACAGATGTTTGGGAGCTACCCTGTGGGCACCAAGACATCTCTGCAGCCCATTACTAGTTACTTTTTAGCGTATTTTTATTCACAAAGTTACAAGTTATGAAAAACTTATATATATTTTCTAAAATCTGAACCATGAATATCCTGTGCAGTGCTTGCTCCTTCCAGACTCTCCAGGATTTCAACTTTATGGTTCTTTGTGTTCAACTCTAGACCTTAGATTTTGGTGGGTTTGAAGAGAGGCTTGCTTGGGAGATCATAGCTCATTCCACAGCTCCTGCCCAGAGGCTCTGAGCATCCCATCATTTCAAGGGCTAAACAAAACAGAAACGGTTCTTCCCATGCCCTGACTTTCTGCAGAAATATGCGTTCTTAGTGATTTTATCTTCAAAGGAATGAATTCAAAAGTCTAAGTTCCAGATATAAACTTATATCAATGATGTAGAAGAACTTAGCCTAAAAATACTTAAAAACAGTGTTATCAGATACTATATCTTGTTGGGTAAATGTAAAATGTGTGCCTACATGTATGTGTGCATTTTCTTATTAAGCAAATGTCCTAAGGGAAGCCACAATGGCTGGGTATTAACAAATTGTATTACATATATTATTGCTTTAAGTAGACATTACTGATGGACATGATACTCAGAATTCTGAAATTAGCCAGGAGCAGGACACTTGGGCATTGTTTCAGTTTGTTTTCTATTGCTGTGATAAAACACCATAACCAAAGCAACTTGAAGAGGAAAGGGTTTATCGCAGCTTGTACTTGCAGTCCGTCATGAATGGGAGTCAGAAACTGCAACAGAAGCCATGGGAGAATGCTGTTTACTAGCTTTCTCCCACTGGCTTGCTCAGCCTGCTTTCTTATACAGGACAGCACCACTGCCAGGGTTGGCACCCGCCCCCAGTGGGCTGCCCCTCCCCCATGTCAGTCATTATTCAAGATAATAGCCCACAGACTTGCCTACAGGCCAATCTGATGGAGGTGTTTTCTCCATTGAGCTTCCTCTTCCCAGAAAACTCTAGCTTGTGTCAAGGACACAAAAAATGTACCAACACGAGCATATATCATTTTACCAGTACCCTTCTTCTAAGTTTCACTTATATCACTAATTTATAACAGGAAATAAATAAATGTAAAGTCATATTCAATTTCACAGAGGTTTTCTTAGGAAAAGTGCCAAGGGGTATGGGTATGTCTCATTGTTACAGTAGCAATAACTGTGATTTCCAATGACATGTGTGCCCACTAAGAAGCCCACCATTCTCCAAAACATGGTTCCAAATCCATGGTCACAAAAATGATCCTGGGTAAAGTCAGTGGACCTCAGAAAGCAAAAATAATGTTTGAAATGGAATTGTAGGGAGAAAAGGGTTAATAGGGTGGGTAGCAAACTAGAGCACACGGGATTATAGTGATAAGAATGAACTCTATGTGTGCATGAAACTGTCAAAGAAAAATTCAATAAAAGTTTTTAGAAACTCATTTTAATAAGTGATTTCTTGCTGTTCATATTAACGAGGATGTATTGACTACTTCAGAATACTGTCTTTTCTTCTTAGTTGAACCCCATGTGGTTTCATTGTGTGAAGGTAACAACTATCTGATTCCAAACGCTTCTGAAGGAGCCCATGTCAGTGAGCTCCTAGATGAACAACCTGTAGTGTGTGTGTGTGTGGGGGGGGGAATCCCATGTCAGTGAGCTCCTAGAGGAACAACCTGCAGAGTGTGTGTGTGGGGATCCCATGTCAGTGAGCTCCTAGAGGAACAACCTGCAGAGTGTGTGGGGTCCCATGTCAGTGAGCTCCTAGAGGAACAACCTGCAGAGTGTGTGTGGCTATGGAAGAAAACCATTGACGGCTATTGCGCGTGCCCTGCACTTGGTACAGTTTGGTTCTAGGAATTCTTTCCAGTACAACAAGAGAAGAATTATGTCCAATAAGAAAAGAGATTAAGAGCATTTAAATTGGAATCTGGCTGAACAAACGTTATTGATTGTAATGTACATCATTATATATACTCAAGCTTTTCTTTCCCACTTCCCTGGTCCAAGAAGAATTCTTTCATATTCTCCTTTTTAATACTATAAAAATAAATTCTGCTTCAGATTTTTCATAGTATATAAAAGTTGTGTAAAATACATATCGGCAGTTAATAGCCTTTCATCCCAAAAGGTAATGTACAGTAGTGAGTTTATTGTTTATGTGTATATCAATTTTGTTTTAAATATGTGCTGGGATGCAAAGGCAGGATTGGATGTAAAATTGGGAAGGCAGGCACAGAGGCTGGAAAATGATTTCTTTTAATAGTTTTTTTTTTCTATTAACAGCACTTTACTTGAAAATATTCCCATTCAGCTGCAGATTTTGAGGTTTGGTGCAGTGAAGGGGAAATTTGTTCTTCTGACACATTTATTCTTTTAATCGTTATTCATTTGTCAAACTTTCACTGAGTGCCTCTGTATTTGCAGTGGCAGAAAGATTGATTTTGACAGTTGTTTCAAATGCTTATTCATTTAACTAGATTCTCATGCAGCGGCATTCTGGGTATGTTTTCCTTAAACTGAAGATCCCTGAGACAGTGCAGGTGTGGACCTGTGGATTTTTCTAGACCTTTGCATGACAATATATATACATATAAAATAGTGGCAGAGAGGAGAAGAGGGAATCATCTGAAGTGTGAAATTTACCTAACCATTAGTAAATACTCTTAGCTGTGGTGTTATGAATTAATTTTATATATATGTAGGCATATATATAATCAAGTTGTCCCAGAGAGCAAGGCATCTATCACATATTTTGTCTCAATATTTAATGTGAAGATTCTCACTTAAAGAAACTGTTTGACTCATTTTAGCATTCTATCAAATCTAAGTAGGGTAATAATGGGTCAAGGAAATTACATTTGTATATATTCTCCTAAGCCTCCATGCATTTTTATCCACAGTTCCAAAGACAGCTCCCAGCAATGTGAGTGGAAGAAGTGGAAGAAGGCACGAATTGGTTATCGCCTGGGAGGTAAAAACAATTTCTTCATAAGTATCAGAACAAGTTGTATTCTTGGAGAGTAAGGCTGTACACAGAGACTCTGGCCTGGTAAAAGATGGGATGTTTCTGTTTGAATAAAGAAATAGTCTGAGGATCCGATACTCAGATGAATGTGGCCTAGGTAAATCCTCTTCATCCTCACCCCAGGTCCCAGATGACCTTTGCTAAGTCCTTGATGTGCTGGCTATCACACAGACTCTCTCAGAATGAAGACTGACTCTTCAAGCACGTCCCGTGTACATCACTACAGGCACTTAGATTACTAGTGCAGTGGTAGTTCTTTCTGAAGCAAGTAGCCACTGGGACTTCACTGGAAATCGAATCTATGAGAGAGGAAGGCCACCACCACACTGAGTACTTGGTCCCTGGTTTAGCTCAACTCATAACACAGTCTTACTGTGAGTGAAGTTTCCTAATTCTATAGCCTGAAACTAAGTTAATGCTCTGTCAACTTCTCTGACAATCAGAACTGGGACCAGAATTCCCGAGTTTGTGTTACATTACAGAACTCATCATACAATCTCCAAATCCTTTTGCTAATAAAAACAATGAGGATGGAATAAGTGTGAAAGATTCACTTTTCCATGAAGCTAATTTTCTTCTTGCTATTATATAACTAATTACAAAATGTAGCTATGCAGCTAATGAACTCCATCCTAACCATGAAAAATTGGTCATGTTTGTGGGAGAAATGAAACAGTCTTAGAAAGCAGTGAAAATATGTGGACAAGCAAGAAGCTTCCATCAACACATTGTCTGTTGTATTTTTCTATCCATTCCTCTCATAAATAAAACTTTATGCCTTGTGTTAATATTTCTGTAGAGGTATTTATTTCCCCACATCTGACTCCCATTGACCCTCCTATGACCTTGACTTAATTATAGACTTCGTCTCTTCCTCCACTCAGTACACAGTTTTTCTTTAAATCAGATTTCAAGCTTTAAAAATTAACACATAACTACTGGATATCTACAAGGCATTGTATGCTCTACTAGTAAGTGGCTAGTGGCTTCCCTCCATTGCCTTGTCCATTCAGTTACTTCTGTCTATAACATGAGGTTGAAACGTTTAAAGAAATCTAAATGTAAGCCATGTATTGCATGAGAAGTTTTTAAAAATATGTAATTGTCCAGAGTGGATTTGTTTGGTTTTGCACATTAGGAAAACAGACACAAAAGAAAAGAACACTGGAAATAGGTCATGAATTCATGTCTTTGATTTGATCTACTGAGTCTTCTGCAAAGCATTATCTAGAGATGAGAGACTCACAACCCCACATCATGACAATTTTCCCTAGCATGCTCTATTCTACGATAGAGTCCAAGGATCGTCAGTTCATATACATGACTAACTGGAGAAAATTTGTTTAACTTCAACAGTTTTCAATACTCTGGTTTGTTTCCTTAGATACCAACTGATATGATTCCATTTTTTATTTTGTACCTTTAAAGCCAATGCACACATGCTCTCTTAGCTTCTAGCATATTAAAAAGTTCTGAAACTCTTTGCTGTAGTTCACTGTAACTTTTGCAAAGTTAAGTATTAAGAGGAAGAAGTGTTTCTCAGCAAGTTGTTTTGCTGATTGTTAACTGTACTAACCTTCTTTAGCCGGTGTCAGAAGAGTTTCAAAATGGGGAAGGCTTTGGCTACATCGTGGCGTTCAGACCCAATGGAACACGTGGCTGGAAGGAGAAGATGGTGACGTCTTCTGAGGCTTCAAAGTTCATTTACCGAGATGAAAGTGTCCCCCCGCTCACACCCTTTGAAGTCAAAGTTGGTGTTTATAATAATAAAGGTGATGGACCCTTCAGTCAGATTGTGGTCATCTGTTCAGCTGAGGGAGGTCAGTGTCTTTACCCTGTGTCTTTTACATTTCAATGTTTTGTTTTGGTTTTCTAATGAGACGTTGTGAGAATGTTTTAGAAAATATTGGTATGCCAGTGGTTGAAAATATCACTCATAATCCCATTATAGTTGTTAGATAGTTTATGAAACTTTTCCCAAACTCATCTTTCTTAAAACAGTCTGCATATGTTGAGTTATGTTTTTTGTTCACTAATAATGTATAACCAACATGTTTCCACTAAGTGGATAATTTCAGTAATCTATAAACTGTGTTGTTTTCTCTGGATATTTTAATCTCTCTCTCTCTCTCTCTCTCTCTCTCTCTCTCTCTCTCTCTCTCTCTCTCTCTCTCTCTGTGTGTGTGTGTGTGTGTGTGTGTGTGTGTGTTGAACCTAACTGAAGATTCCATTGATGTAACTAATAAACAATTATGTCTAACCAATGTGTAAACCAATACTGATAAAGAAGTCTCAGACACAGCTTTCTGTTAGAAATTTGTCCCCACACCTTGAAATCCTCGTCACATTCTTGGACAAATGTCACTAAAGAGAAAGAGAAATGGAGGAGCAGAGAAGCTAAGGAGCCTGCCAAAGCTTAGGCATCTTATGAAAGAATGAAATGCACAGCTCTCCATAAAATCCTTGATCTTTCACATGGTCATCACATGCATGAACTCATTTTAGTCTGATGCACCTAGATGGGGTAACATCTAGTAAGTAAGTGTGCTCATTTCACAGAAGAATAAACTGAAAACCAGCAACTCTATAGGTACTGTGGCTAAACCATAAACCCAGCTTCTGCTATCAAGATCCTGAGTCTCCAATAAGCTTAAATACAAAAGCGCAATTTTTCTAAGAGAAAGTGGGATACATCTTAGCTTTCCCCCTTACTTTCTCTATTCAAGTGTGGGATTTCAATGGGCCCAGCAAATAAAAGATAATGATGATGATGATGATGATGATGATGATGATGATAATGCAGAATATATTGCACAAAGGCAGCAGCTGACCTTTTAAACAAGCAAGGTCAATATTAATTGAGTCTTGTACTTCTTTCAAGGCCACATGTGTGGCTTGAATAACTCAAGAGAGTTATTAATATTTTTTGTGCCATGAGCTTCATGGGAAGAAATAAATAAAGTCATTTGAATGTAGACGAATAAAGGCAGTGCTTGATTTATGTAAGATACACTCTCTGATAAAAGCTGCCATGCATCGTTTTAATACAGAGCCAAACTATGAAGCTGGAACAAAAATTTAATCCTAGCAGAACAGCAGCTAGGAAGGTGAATAATCAAGTCATGAACTATAGGAGTCCCACTAAGGTATCCGTGCAGGTAGCATCTCTGGTTGTGTTGGATAGAGCCATGCCAATCATGCCTCCTCGTGTGTGTGTGTGTGTGTGTGTGTGTGTGTGTGTGTGTGTGTGTGTGTGTGACTTACCTAATTTAACACTTTAAAAAAAAAGTGAGAATTTCAAATCCAGTCTTGAGGACCCTCAGAACCAGGTCCAGATGTATATTACTAGACAACAGGCATGTGAAGTAAAGGGTAGGTGGTACAGCTGGGCTTTTCACCACAGTATAGGAATAAAAGCATATGTGTTGGGACAGCAGAAATGGATTCCTTTTTGAAGAATGCAGCCCGCTTTTGCAGAGGGCCCACAATCACAAGTAGCCCAGCTCGAGCTCCAAGGGATCCGATGCCCTCTTCTGGTCTCAGTCACTGAACTCAAGTACATATACACCTACACAGGAGCTTACAAATAATTAAAAAAAAAAATCTTCTTTTTAAGCACATGCTTTGCCCTGTACTATCTCACTGGGAATACATACAGTAAATATGACACGAATGATTTCTCACGCCTAAAAGCTATTTGGTAGTACATATTTTACCAGAAAGTACATATCATTGTTGTTTTAAATTTGCTTCAAACTGACTACCAAGCACTTGGCAGCAGAGCTCACAGTGAGTCACAGAAATTTGGAAACATGCCTTGTATGGTAATGCCAGGGCTGCCTTTAAGAAATCCAGTTTTATAATTCCTTGTCAACCTTAGCTTTGAAATTACCTTATAACAGTCGCCATGGGTTACTTTTGCTTTTTTCTTTTCTCTCTCTCTTTTCACATTTTTGGACTGTGAGCCCTTAAACTTGAAATGGTTTGCCTTTAGATCTTTCTCTTTCAAGTTAGACAGGAAACATGCATATTTCCTTTCAAAGACACTGAGGTTGTTGCTACAAAATATTTCATTGTAACACTTCATTTGTCAATGAAAATACGAAAGATACCAGTCAACAGTATGTACAGTCTCCCTTTGTTCTAACTGAGAGAAAGAGAGAGAGAGAGAGAGAGAGAGAGAGAGAGAGAGAGAGAATTTTATCACTAATTCAGTTTACAAAGTTGGAATTTTTGTGAAGCTTAAGAGTTTGCATCATTAAATCACATCAGTTAGAAAACAGAACAGAGGAAGGAAGGAACCATCTCCCTTCACCTGCACTACAATGCAGTCACCCTTAGTGTGATCATAAGTAGATTCTGAAATCTAACTTTCTCTTACTTGACAGTGCAAGTTTTGAATTAGAACAGTTCCAGAATGCTCATAATGTAGAAATTAAAATTCCACCTCCTTGTTCTATATTCTGAAGTACTCTTTAATTTTTCCAAAGAGACAATAACAACAAGTCAACTTTTGCTATGTAATCAAAAGGGGAAATTTCGTTCTCTTTTAGCCACTTGGCAAATGCCTTTGTTTGAACAGATGTAATGCCACCACTCAAGACTTTAGACCAAGTGAATCATGAATTCAGGGCCAGCCTAGGCTATGCAGTGAGACTATCAAAAGAAAACCCATCCGTAAGTGCTGTGTGCATTCCTCAAACCCTTAATTCTTTTTTGCTTCCCTCTCAAGAAAGCCTACAGAAATGTGGGTGAGAATTACATTGTTGAAAGCAAAATGTTGCCCATATTTGACATATTAAAAGGGATCACTTATATTGATATTATCTAAATCATTTGAGGTTTGAATTGACTCTCACATTTCTGAGATTAGCTGTTTCTCTCAAGTACTATCAGGAATGTTCCAGGTGGTTCTTCTAATAACACCCTTGAGCCTTTGGAAAATTTCAGTATTTATGCAGCAGAAGCAGTAAGGCTCTGATGTGCCAAGTGGCCACTGATGTAATCCTGGAGAAAAACTTGCCTGCTGGGATTTCCACAGGTGCTTCATAGGTAAATCACACTTCCAACCTTTACGCCAAGGAAGAATTTTGTATCCCTAACCCTAGTTTCACTATTGATCTTTAGGATATGATTCACCTTATTTTGGAACCAAACCCATCTTTTTAAAAGAATTACAAAGTTCTGATGTAGTTGATAGTAAAATGCATAGTGAAGTTGGTTGAAGTTGGACATGCCTATAATCCAGCACTGGGGAAGCTGAAGCAGGAGGATTGAAAGTTGCCTGGACTTTTAAGTTAACAGCAGGCTGGAGAGATGGCTCAGCTATTAGAAACATGTACTGTTCTTGCAGAGAGAGGACTAATTTTGTTCCTCAGCACTCACATCAAACCCCTGAGAACCTCATTCACTCCAGCTCCAGATGGTCTAATGCCCTCTGCTGGCCTCCATGGGTACTGCACTTGTGTCCACAAACCCACACTCAGAAATTCCTGTATACTCATTGTCGGGCGGTGGTGGCGCACGCCTTTAATCCCAGCACTCGGGAGGCAGAGCCAGGCGGATCTCTGTGAGTTCGAGGCCAGCCTGGGCTACCAAGTGAGTTCCAGGAAAAGGCACAAAGCTACACAGAGAAACCCTGTCTCGAAAAACCAAAAAAAAAAAAAAAAAAAGGTTTTAAATTAAAAATAATAACAAATTACATCCAAAATCTAAGTAAAAATGTTTTTTAAAGTGATTTCTTCCCAAGATAAAAACATTAAATCAATGGTTCATGCTCAATTTTGTATTTCTAGAAAAACTTCATCGTTCAACTCATACCTGTTTGCTCTCAGCCTCTCATTACTCTAACTTTGGGTCAAAAGAACCAGAGCATTCAGTTACATCCATCAGGAAAGCAGAAAAAGTCCCATAGCCATTAGTCATAGATTGGAAGATTTGTTTATTCGTAATGTTCTACAGCTTTTTCTAGCATTTGGGGCTTTTGTGTCTTTGGGTGAATTGCATGGCTCTTGTTGTTATTAAATTGAAGTTGCTCCTCATCTGAAGAAACTGGTTTGCAGATGTCCCTTGAAAACAGGGCAATCAGCACTCAAATTAAAGCCCAGTGCTCACAAGGTGGCATTCTCTAGATCAGCTCTTGGCTGAAACTGAGCTCAGTGGGATTTATATGAAGTCAGAAATTTATAAATTGGCATATTAGTTATAAAATACAAGGACTAATCGCCTGTCTGTGCTGTGTGATCCATTTGGATTAGTGACTATAAAAGTTCAATGGTGCTGTCTTCATGAATTTTTAACTAATGAAACCATAACCCTTCTCCCACAGTTTATTAGACTCCTCTTTGATTAATGCTGCTGCTGCCCCTCCTGGGAAGTCAGATGTACAATCAATATTACAAGCACATCCCCCCAAATCACTAGGAGGACTCCAGCTGCTGGGTCACTTAACACAGATGTATCATCTAAATTCATGAGCACAGTAATTCTGTTCTAAATTTTAATCTAACTGATACTGAAATCTATCAATCAATGTGTCCACTATGTATCCCCAGATTGGAGTGGAGGAGCTATCCACAGCCTACATCACACCCTAAGCAAGAGGAGAGTTTTTCAGATCTCTACCTAACAGACAGAGCCTAGCATATTTGCCAAAATAAGATCTGAAGTTTAATAAACTTACCTAAGTGCAAAGTCAAGAGTAGGAGTTGAGTTTTGTTTGATTGTTATTTTAATCCTGTGATGTACAAGGTCAGGAGGGTTTGAACATGCTCAGACATGGCATGGGCTATGAGGAGCCCCGTGCAACTTGGTCCAAAGT